ACACAGGACTCCTCACCTGGACGATCTGGGCAGCCTTTCCTTTGAACCTTGTCTTCCCCTTTTCTGGTTGCTCATATCTACCTTTCTATCTAACATTAACAGGTGTTAACAGGGTTAACACCATGTAAGGAAAGGGGAGGAAGGAGGACTGGATAGGGGTGCTGTCAAGCCATGATTCAGACCTGGTAAAGCTTCCCGGCCCCATAAGGCATTTCAGAATGACGACTGCCTAGTATTGCAAATACCAAATCATCATGTTGTACACCTGACACCAACGCTATGCCAACTGTACCTCAGTAGGTTTTTTTGCCAAGTAGAACAGTTCCATATTGAACTGAAATGGCTAAGCCCACATACCACCTCTGGCTCATCACTTAAGGTCGGGAGGCACCCTGATAAAAACCTGAGTGTGGGTCCCACCATCTCACTCCATCAATGTCTCCGCTGTGAAGCTGAATCAGCGCTTCAAGGAACTAACAGCTGGAAACTGTCACCTAATCACAGTTGTCATCCTTTCTTGTAGAAGCGACGGACTCAGCCGTTCCTGTTCCTTGTGCTGCATGGATCTGCCTTGGGAAGCATCTCTTCAGGGCCTTTTGTGTGGGAAACTTCGAAAGCCAAAAAGGAGGTTGGATTACAGCCCCATCATTGCACTGGTTCATGGGCCACAATGGTCCCCATCATCTCCCTCCTCCACTAGGCACCCCAAACTCCCCTACTCAACTACCATCTTGCTTTTATCATCCCTATTGAAAAGTAACACGTCTATTGAAGGCAACAACTCTCAGCTGCTCTTAGATTTTCTCGTGGTTTTAGACATTGCTAGTTATCGTTCTCTGTATTTATCCTCCTTGGCATTCATTAAGTTTCTTGAATTTGTAGTGTAATGTTCTTTGGTTTGGGAAAATTCCTGTTGTAGTCTCTTCTGTCTACTCTCTCCTTTCCTTTCTGGGACTCCATATACACGTGTTTTATTTTTACTTTTTCCTACATTTCTCTTAGGTGCTTTTCTGCATCTTCCATTCTTCTCCTCTCCATACTTGGGACAGGTGTCAGCTTCCTTCACAGCCCTGAACAACCCCAAACTTTGACCTCACTGCCCCGTTAGGGCGCTGCAAGCTCGGAGCCTCTTCCTGATGGGCCTCGTGTCACACGATCAGGAAGTCACAGGGAGAGTGGCACTGAGCCCCAGGTTTCCTCCGTTTCCTTTTGCCCTAGGATGTTGGTTGGCCCTTGGAGCACCTTCACACTTGGCCTTCAAACTTCTGCTGTTAGCAGGATGGTTAATCTGATAAAATCATGCTCAACAGCTGGAAGCTGAAGCCCCTTTCCTTGCATTTCTGAGAATTATTTTCAGCTGCTATACTTACAGTTTGAAGCAGTCTCTTAACCATACACAATGCTTTCGACTTTAAATTCTGCTTTGCCTGATATATTTTGTTCATGTTTTTCTTGATTCTTTCATTTTCAGCATGTGCAACTTTTATGACTTTCATGTAAACAACATATTACTGGGTTTTATCTTCAACCCATCTGACAATCTGTCTTTTAAAAAGAGAATCTAGATTTAGTGTAACTTACATCTTTTATTTTTCTTTGTTTGGGAGAGTGGCTAGGGGAACCTATTTCTCTGCACCCCAAAGCTAGTGAGAAGTAGGACTTGGGAGGCACATGGAGAAAATCTAATTAGAAAGTCTAGCTTGAGATGAGTGGCTTACATGGACTTGCTAATACTTCACTCCTCAGAATTGCATACCTAAAGACTGGCAGAGCTGGACAACCACAGGTCTTGTCCAGAGGGACACACAGCTTACACACAGACAACAGACCAGACCACGCACCTCAGGAGGCCACACATGCCACAAGTGAGCACGGGACGTGCTGAAGCGAAAATGCAGATCCTCTCCAAATTAGTCAGATAAACACTCTGATCTACCCGAGTGGTGACGAGGTAGAGAGATGTCAAGAGTGGCGCTCTAGCATTAAGATCCCCCAGAGAAGCATGTGGCCAGAAGGAAGAACAATTACCTCTATTACTCAATGGTTGACCCTTTAGCCCATTAGACTTAAAGATAAGCCCTGGTCCACCATGGGCATGGCAGTCCCCCAGGGAAAGGACAGCAGAAGTGGGACAGCTCTGCTCCACCCCCACTGCCACTCACTCAATGCAAACAGCTGCCCCTTTAGTTTCTTCTGTGACAAGAGGTGGGTTGGAGTTTCAGTGAAGATAAATACTGCTCCCTTCAAACCCTGTGAATCACCCCCCTGGGAAGTAAGACACAGCTGACAAATGGATTAAAAATATTTGTTTTATTAATGAATCTGTCTTGAAGAAGATGGTTTGGGTGTTTCCTAATACTTGATCTCTGGGTCAGACAATTAACCTCCTGGTCACGAGCAGCCCTGAACAAATGCAGATCTCTCCCTGGACAAGGACAAAAAGCTCTATCTTCTCCATGGGCAGGCAAATCCTAGCTAGAGCCTAGAAAACAATAACCTAGGCCCGCTCAGGTCCTCCTCCCAAATCCACCAGGGCTGCTCTTCTCTTTTGCTGGGAGGAATGGCAATTCCCTGATAACCATGTGGCATGGGGAATACGTCCTAATGTTTTCTCTCCCTTTCCTTATCTTTAAAAAAAATTAAGGCACAGATTACAAAATGCATAGGTTTTAAAACTGTAGAGTTCAGTGAGTTTTGACAAACGTGTATACTCACTACCACCACAAACAAGACGTAAATTCCCACTACCCAGGAAGTTTCCTTGTGCCCCTTTATAGCTGTGCCCCCACTCTTCCCTTTCAGGAGCAAACCTTGCCCCAGTGCCCAGCACCATCAATCAGCTTGGCCAGCTCCGTAGCTTCCTGCAGACAGTGAGTGGGCACTGACAGCTTGCTCCAGTACTCAACCATCTCCCTTATCTTCATACATATACGCTGTGTTTATCAGTTAATTCTTGTTTATTGTCGAGTGGTAGTCCATTCTATTAACATACCTGCTTATCCATTTTCCTATTGTTGACATGTTTTTTTATCTTCTGTCATTATGAATAAAGCAACAGTAAACAACCTTGTCTATCTTTTGTGGACGTATAGTTTCATTTCTCCTGGGTATCTAGAATTGGGTGTTAAGGCATAAATATAATTTAAAAACACAAAAAACTTGCCCAAACAGTTTTCCGAATTGGAAATACCACTTTAGATGGGAATGTATGAGTTCTAATGGGTCCACATTCTCATCAGCATTTGGCATTGCTGGTCTTATTTTCAGCCATTCTGACGGATGGGAAACAGGGTCCTTCTGTGGTTTTGATCCCTATTCCCTAATGGCTGACGACACCGATCGACTTTTCATGTTCTTGGTCACTCATACAGCTTTGTGATGACTGTTCAAGTCTCTTGCCTTTTCGTTAAATTGGGTTTTTCACCGTATTTTTGATTTGCATTTTTCTGTCTTTAAGAGTCCTTTGTCAGGACACATGGAGATTATTTCTTTCCTGGCAGTCCATGGACTATTCATTTTGAAGAGCAAAAAAATCTAAATTTTGATGAAAGCCCAATTTTTTTTTCTTCTGTGATTAATCTGTACTTTGTCCTAAGAACTTTTTTCCATTCCAAAGCTCTTTTTGTTTTCTTCTAGATATTAGGTGCTTCATCTTTACACCTAGGATATATTTTGGATTAATTTTTATGTATGGCGTACAGTAATTTAAGAGTGTGGGTTCATTTCTTTCCATACCAATATCCACTTGCTGGTCACTGGTTGAAAACTTTCCTTTCTTCACCCAATTGCCTTGGCACTGTTGTTGAAAATCAACTAACCATGCATTTGTGGGCCTATTTCTGAACCCTCTTCCACTTCATTGATCTATTTCAGGGGTTGGCAAACTTTTTCTGTAAAAGGCCAGGCAGTACGTATTTCAGGGTTTGTAGGCCATATGGTCTGTGTTGTGACTATTCAACTCTGCATGAGAGCCGCCAACTGGGGGGCTGGGTCCAGCTGGAAGTCGAGGCAGTCCCACAAGTCACTCAAAAGTCTACTCCTCTTAGCTTATCAAATTCAACTGCCACATACACGTCGGCCTGTGTCAGAGCTCTTCTGTAGACTATTCATCAATATTTGTCTACTGCTATGCCTGTAACACATTTATTGCACTTCTGGCTGCTGAACATGCAACGCACTGCTCTATTTTGAAATCTGGTTGTCAAATTCTAAGCAAAAAATACCAGAAAGATTTGACTGGGACTGTGCTATAACAGCTAATCTCGAGTACTCACGCAGTCAAGCATTGTTCTGCTATATATTTAATGTGTCACACTTAATCGACACAACTCTTGTCTTTTGCTAGCTGGGCACCCTTTAAAAAATGACTTGACCTCTATGTAATAAGGATGGGCACAGGATCCAAAGACAGGAAAATGGAAGAATGAACACAGGCTATGGAAGGAGTCAGGCAATACGAGTCCTTAGCTCTGTTATCACAATGCAAAAGCAGCCACCCACATGTATGAACAAGTGGGCACAGCAGTGCTCCAATGAAGCTACTGGTACAAGCAGGTGCTGGGCCAGAGCTGGCACGTGGGATGTACCTTCCTTGAAACAGAGAACTGATGGCCATCTGAGTGGGAGGAGAATTGGAAATGAGCAACTGTCATGTGGCAGCATGTTCTCAACATCACCATGACACCTGAGAAACAGAAGCTGGAGGACCAATGAACCATCTACAGACAAGTCCACAGGAGGTGTACAGACAAGTGCACCTGTGTTGGGCACTGCCTGCTCTGGGCGTTTGGGTCACAGTAGTGGGTGGGACGAGCGCCTGACCTGATAGCTGGTGTCCTCCTGGCTGAGTGTGGCTTGGCCTCCCCTGCTCAGGATTGGGTATACGGCATTAGAGCCAGGGTCAGGAAGCGTGACCCACTACACACCAGCAGTGCAGTGGTCCTCTCATCATGGTCCCTACACCCTGTCTTGTTATTAAAGCCCAAGCAAGGTACAAGAGATTTCTAGAAACAAAGAATCGGGCTTTATTTTTGTTGTTATTTTTAATACAGGTATTGTACTGTAGACATCTGTTAGTCTCGCAATTCAATATGGCCAATACACAGAACCCAAAGTGGGAACTAAACCAGTGTCCTTGCTCCTGGTCCTTGCTGGCTTCCTCCACTCAACAGACGATGTTCCTCCCATCCATGTGTCCTTTCCCTGCCACGCAAGACAAGCAACGCAAAACACTACCCAATGCTCTTTCACCAGCAGAGGGTGGGATGAAGACAGACACCGTGTTACCCCAGATGGAGAAGCCGACCATGTCCACACGAAGGAGGCAGCACAGGCCACCTCTGGGGCCATGCCCTGGCGGCGGCAGCTGGCAAATCCTTCCCCGGGTGAGACGTGAGTGCGTCATCCAGCAGCAGTCCCTGAGGTCCTGTGCCATGTAGGTCAGCATCCAAGAGGAGCCAGAGGAGCCTGTCCTCTGACAGTGCCAGGTTCCAGAGGAGGACGCCTGAGGACAGTCTCTTCTGAGGAGCTCACACAGAAAGGGTTCCTGAGGAGGCGTGCAGAGGCCAAGTGTGGCGCCCCAGCCAGCTGTCCCAGGGCGCACTGCTGGCTCCACTGGCCTCAAGTGCGAGGTCGCGGTAAACCTCGCAAAGAGTTTCTATACCATTTACAATGGAAAAGTAAATAAGAAATAAGGCATTAGACATCTGATTTTTTTATTTCCATATGCAATGTCATGTTTAGGCACGCTGCTTGGGATGCTACTTCTAAAAAAATCGTTGGCCATTTTTCAGAATATCCTTTTGGTTTTAAATACTGGTCAGGAAAAACAAATGATGTAAAAATACGTGAATAATTTTCTATTACAGAAATGAAAAACTGATTTGCATCTAAAAGTGCAAGAGGTGAAGTAATTTAAACCCTTTCACCAGACAATATGGCAATATACAATATATTGCTTTAGCTGTTTGAGAAGGCTGTGATGTATTTTTATATTGACATAGAAAATTATAAATTACATTGAATTAGTATCCATAATCACTATATATATACACAAACCAGTTCTAAAAAAAAATACACTGGTTTAGAATTTACGAGTGAAAACCTCACAAGGTACAGTAAAACAATGAACATGCTTAGGTGCCGATTTCGATTTCTAGCTGTAACACTAGCCTGCAGAACAGACGGGCTCCAATTCCATCAGCAGCACAAACATTTCCACACTGACTTGCCTAATGTGACTTATGTTGTTAAGTATGCAGACTGCTCTGAAATGTTCATTGGTGACACTTGTTTACAAGGTAAATTTTGTTGAATGGGTTAAAAGGCAGATGAACTACCAAAACAAAACAGAAAACAAGAACAAGAAACAAAAAAACCCAAACCATAAGCCATGTACACTCCAGATATTCTAGTGTTTCACCTGTAGGAATAATCATTTCAAGCAAACAAGACTTTTAACAGAACATGATGGCTTTACAATGACATTGTTTTATCAACTAAGTTGCAGTAATAAATACTTAAAATCTCTACTGATAGACTTACTTTTTTTGATCCGTTTAAAACAATACAGAAAACAGTTACCAATCAAAAACTGGTTATAAAAAGAACACCAAACATTTCTTATTCAAAACCACTTTTGTAAGTCAGAACACCCAATAGAACACTTCGAGGGCATGTCAATCCTCTAACTCCTTGCCAACCTGGAAGAGAAATGGATTCAGAATTTTGTACAAGGTGAAAAATGTATGAAAACTGCCTAATACTTTGGTCACACTAATAATTGTCAAATAGTTATGTTCCAAATACAATAGATCTGTGTATTCACTTTTATAAAACTATTCTTACAGCCATTTTAACTATAGCATTACTACTATTATTACATGGGCAGCGAGATCTTTTTCACAGGCTACCCATTATTTAGAACAATACAATATAAACATACGCAAAAATTCTTGGTATTTGTCAATGTGCAATATTTTCACACTTCTGAATTTTGCTGTACAACGACTTAGAATCTGAATATAAAGGTTGCTGGTCCTGATCCCTCGCAGAGTGTGTGCAGCGTGGCAGCCCAGCTGGCTGCAGGCGAGGCCTCCCGAGCCCCTGAATGGTGGCGGCCTGCGGTCCACAGCGGCAGCCACTCGTCATACGGGGCCATTAACTGACACGTCGCCTGGTAGGCCTGGCTGGCCGGTCCTAGAGTAAGAGACACACATCTGAGGCACTTAAACCAGAAACGTATGACAGAAAATTAACTTTCCTTAGCTCCTTGAGAGTGCAGAACATTCATTTGAACACTGTGCAGTGCCTAACGCAAAGCCTGGCACCTAGCAGTAACCTAATGAACTGCTTCCCAAATGAATTTATCGAAAGGACCAGTGAATCTAACTGAATAGCACCTAAGCTTCATGTGGGGCTTTGGCTGCCGAGCCATTCAGCAAGGGCCATGAAAGAGCAGGGGATAGAGAAGCCAAGACGGTGGCGTGAGCAGGGCAGCGGACATCTCCTCCCAAAACCATATATATTTTTGAAAATACAATGAATACAACTATTACTAAAAGAGAGACCAGTGGATACAGTACAACAGACAGGCTACATCTACATCTGCGAGAACTCAGCACCTCACAAAGGGGGTAAGATACAAGCCGTGGCCTGGCGGGACCTGAGCGCCCCCCACACTCCAGCTCCCTGGCAGGAGGAGAGGAGTCGGAGTGGTGAGGGAGAGGGAGCCCAGGCCTGCTAAATACCTAGCCCTACTCATCCGCACCAGAGCGCAGACACACATTGCATGGTGTGCTGGATAACAGAGAAATGGAAAAGCAAAATCTGCAAGCAGGTCCCCTGCAACCGGCTCCCCAGGGACAAAAGAAAAGTGAGTGCTTTTTGAAAGTCTTAAAGGGACAGGAGCCTCACAGCTGGACAGAAGCGTCCCAGCACACTCAGCCCAGGAGGCCGGAAATTCTGAGGAACTTTGGGCGCCCCAGTCCCCTGGGTGGCAACGCAGCTCTGAAGCCCCTCATGGCAAACAAGCAGCCTGCCAGTTGTTCCGCCAGCTGGCGTGGCCCCCGACACAGAGCTCAGTAGCCAGAGAGCAGGAGTGTGCATCCAGGGCGGCGGGGGAGCAGCCGGGGAGCGGCCGTGCCCCCAGCAGCCGCCCAGAATCTCCTCCCGGCATGCAGACGCCTGGGCCAGACCTAAAGGTTGCCGCCGGTGCACATCTGCCTGGTGCAGGCAGAGGAAACCGGGTCAAGGTGCGAAGGGGTGCCACTCTCGCAGAAGACCACACCTGGTGCGCCTGCCACTTCCCGAAGGGCTCTGCCCTACGCCGATGGCGACCCCGCCCACGGCAGCGGAGAAGGGCAAGGCGACCAGCAAGCAGGAAAGGACTTTGTTCTCCCAGCTGACACAGGCGCTGCCTGCCTGCAGCCACCGCTATCGCCATGAAAAGGCAGAAGAATTTGGTCCAGTCCAGAATTACCCAGACAACCCCTGAGAGAGAGCCTAGGGAAATAGATTTAACCAATCTTCCTGAGAAAGAATTCAAAATAAAGGTCATAACCATGCTGATGGACCTGCAGAGAAATATGCAAGAGCTAAAGGATCAAGTAGGGAAGGAGACTACAGAAATAAAACAATCTCTGGAAGGACTTAAGAGCAGATTGGATGAGGTGCAAGAGGCTGTTAATGGAATAGAAATCAGAGAACAGGAACACAGGGAAACTGAGGCAGAGAGAGATAAAAGGATCTCTGGGAATGAAAGAATATTAGGAGAACTGTGTGACCAATCCAAACGGAATAATATTCACATTATAGAAGTACCAGAAGAAGAAGAGAGAAAAAGGAATAGAAGGTGTCTTTGAAGAAATAATTGCTGAAAACTTCCCCAAATTGGGGGAGGAAATAGTCTCTCAGACCATGGAAGCCCACAGAACTCCCAACACAAGGGACGCAAGGAGGACAACACCAAGACATATAATAATTAAAATGGCAAAGATCAAAGACAAGGACAGAGTATTAAAGGCAGCCAGAGAGAGAAAAAAGGTCAACTACAAAGGAAAACCCATCAGGCTATCATCAGACTTCTCAGCAGAAACCTTACAGGCCAGAAGAGAATGGCATGAT